GGAGTTTGTATGACGTCCAGTAACACTGAACTAGTTTACATTTTGTTTAGGGGCCAGCTGAAGTACGCCTCCGGGTGCGGAAGTTTCTCGTTGTATTGAAGACCCATTGGTGGCCTTCGGTTGTTGTTTGCTCTTTGGTTGGGTTGTTGTCTCTTTGACACATTCCCCATTTCTATTCTCAATTTATTTGCTAATGAACTTCTTCAATGATGGCATAATGGCATGCATCAAATCTAAATATTTGTTGTTATTGAGATAGTGTTTTGTCGATGGCGATTAGTGACAGTTTCTATTTTCTTCATTCACAACTTATAAGGCCGGTGACCAAAGTCGGAATTATAAAAGTTTTATCGTCAAAATAGTACACGGCTATATCATATATCATTCAATTTGAAAATATGTGTACTTTGAAATTAATTTGGTCGTCAAAAGAAAATATGGTGCAGTTTTTCAGAAATCAAGATCAAAGGTCACATGTCGTTTTCAAGGAAAAACAAAATTGAATATCCAATTCAAAATTAAATACCCTTTTTGCAGTAGAATGATTGAAAACTTGAATCTATTTTCTTCCTTATTCTATTTTTCATCAAAAAAGTGGAAACCCATCATTAAATGAGTTTTCCGAGAAAACGTATGCTCCTTTACAAAAAGGGGCTGGTTTATAGTTTAAAAAGATGTATTTTTTCAAATTATAAGAACAGCGGCCGTCAAAACTATACAAAATCTAAAGAAAAATTTGAACAAACATGTATTTGCTAATATAACTATCTTTTATACCCCCAATGAAAGTGGAAACTTGTGTTTTGGGCATAAACGTTGAACTCGGTACATGTAAAACTGGCATAAAAATTATTTCAGGGCAGACTTATAATTGAGTTTAAACAATGTCATGACGTTTTGTATGGGATAAAATGTATTAATAGGAATATAATTCATTACAAAATAGACTAACAACTTTAAAAAGATTTTTTTAATGATAGAACCGCCTTTTTTGTGTTTAAAAATTGTGAAAGTTTCGGTTATTCAATCCCAAACAAGATAAGAAATTTTCTTCTATGCATGATAGTTTAACATCGCACTAAACATACGTAACTTTAATAAGTAATTCAGATTTCAAATGACTTTTGTATTGTGGGAATGTTATTACAAGGTTCTAACCCTTGGATGGAATACATATGGTCGTACATGGAAGGTTTAGCAACTCTCGAATACCAATATTGGTCCAAATTGGTTAAAGAACACGACAAAATTCTTAAACCACAAATCCTATAGTATTGCAAATATAAATGTTAAGCTCCGGACATTTAACCTGTTGTGCATTGGAATAGAGTGGTGGTCAAATGTTTGTGTACCACATGTAGCGTGCTTTTATCCAGTATCTAAATATCTCTCAACAAAAGTCAAGAAAAAAACCATCTCTGATCGACAGTATACACTTGCCATGATTACATGACTGTAGTCTGTGGAATGTTTCCGATTGTAGTGATCGTTCTGCCCTACGGTCTGGTCTGTATAACTGATTTGATATCTGAACTAGGGTTAGCATTGATATCGCACTGCTGATGGCAAACAACTTGTTTTTGTAAATTTGTCTTTGTACACCTTCCGGGGGCACACGAGATAACCTCCGGTTTTCAGTAAGGTTGGAATAGATCTTTAGTTTTCTATGTAGTGTTTTGTAAAATTTAATTTGTCTTTATGTCGTTCTTCGACGTCGTTCCTCGACTTTTTCCACGACGTTGTGATATTGTCGTCGACTTATAAGTTTGAATATCCCTTTGATATCTGCAGCCTGTTTGAAGCAGTTTTCTGTTAGAAGCCCACCGCTGTTCATAAAGTCTGTACTGGGTCAACATGCACGAGGATATGGCATCAATTGAGATATGTAAACACCATATGATGGCGAAGAGGATATAGTACTCTTGAGACATGGAGAAATTGACAGTTCGAAAGTTAAAATCGTCATCCAAAGTTTGTCATAGATTTTTGTTTGAAGTCGTCAATCTGTGTCAATATCAAAGAAAAGGTCAAGATATGAAGCAGACATTTTAGTTTCTGTAGTCTCCTTTATAACATGCTCACTGGGATATATGAAATGTAAGTACTGACTGACTGACATGTGGATTACAGAGAGACAGGAAGCCTTCAATATATCTGAATTTGAAATCAAAGAACTAAGCAAAATGGCTTTCTTTAGGTCTTTGATAAAGTTCTGCATTTCCAATTGCAGTGTGGACTACAAACACCGTTATGTTATGTTGACTTATGCATCATTCGTGTCCGCTTTAATAATAAAAAATTTCCAAAACAATAGAATGAGCTTTTAAAAGTCACATTCATACGCGCATTTTCCTGTAAATTTCATCATGATCCATCATTACACAGGTATCAACTGTGTCAAAATAAGGCGGTTGACTGTTAGGGTAATTAAAAAAATTATCCCACTTCTGTTTTTAAGAAAATAACAACGGACTTCCCAGTTTTATCATCTTTTTGGGATTTTATCGGATCTCCATTTCTTAAATCAACAACTGTAAAATTATTTTTCCTCTAATATGAATAAAACTATAACAACAAAACCTCAAAAAAGAATTACGAACATCCAAATAAATCAACAAAAACAAGTAATATCAAGTCCTAAATATTTGAGGAAAACTATGTATGCAGCCCAATCAGGGACGGACACAACTTTCCGTATTTTTTAAAGTTAATGATTGCATAGTAGAGATTTTTGAAAGTTTAAAAAATATCGTTTTGAATAATCTTACCTCATAAAAACATGTATATATAAATAGAAAAATTGCAGTTTTATTATTTTTTAGTAATTACGATATAATTCATTCATCAGCGGCTTATTCTATGATGTTGGAATCCGGTGAAACACAAAATGTCCCTGTTTACATTTATTTGTACCTTCATAATTTGTCATCAAAAGGCATTTAAGATTATATTTTTCGCCTAATGAATAAAGCATTATGTGTGACGTTAGAATAAAACAAATAAATAAATATATTTTAGTGCAACTTTTGAATAAAAAACCAAACTGCGTGCCACTAATGATCTGCATTTGAAGTCAAATTTGCTAGCTTAACGCTAAAATAAAAAAAAAACTGCACCATACGACTTTTTGACGACCAATCCTAAATTCAAGTAAAATCATTTTCCTAGGACTGTGCAAATTTTTAGCCGTGTATTATGAAATGAAATTAAACTCTTTTAATATTCGATTTTTTCCTATTTTGTCACCGCACTATATTATAGTAGTGATGATTATGTGATAAACATGTTTCTTTGTGTGCCGTCTTATTGACGTCTATACTCCTCATTTACATCAAACACGTATTATTATATCCACCAGAACTTTAAAAAAGAGAAACAAAAGACACGGCTTCATCTGTCTCATTTTATGACTTGCACCTCGAATTTGACATAAGCAGTCATCTCAGTGCCAGAATCTATGACAAATGAGATATTATTAATTTTGAAATTATAAATTTCTCCCACCTTAGCAGCAATATGACAACTTCACCTGCATATGGGATATACATTTCACAACTCATTCGATATTTACTAGATTGCAGCTGCCATTCACATCTTACAAAACGTCACCAATGTCTCAGCAAAAAGTTGATGATATAGATGGATAGATTAATATCTTGTTATTGTGATTTGTGCAAAACAAACCAAATAAAATTTGTTTTGGTTTTAGAAGAAATTACATTGTTCATTTATATATCAAGATTAAATCGATATGAATATTGAACCTTTGGTAATGCATTTATTTAGAACATATTTAAAAGTCTGTATATTCATATTTCAAGTGGATTTGAAATAAAAACATGTATATGTATATTTGTATAAATACAATAACATATAGTGTAACAGAAAGATATTTTGCATAATATGTATCTTAGATAGGTCATGAAAATAGACTCTTGAGTCAGCTTTCCTATACTATTTAAATCATCAAGTGCTGATATCGGCACTAACAACTTTGTAGGTTAAAGTCTCTTTTCTAAGCATTTACGTTACGTGATACCTACAACATAATTATATAAGATAAACATGTACATTTTGTACTAACTATTAAAATTGAAGATTTCCTTCTTGCATTTCAATTGTCACTGAACGTTTGTCATTACATCGACGTTTTAAGTTTTTAAGAAAAAAGTATCATTGTGATTATTAACAAAAATACCGAATTCCTAGTTTATCTTAAAAATCCATAAAACCTGACAAATCAAAATAAACCGCACGATTGTATCAAACAACGGAAGAATGTCGTATTCTAGTCTTGGTACATGCATTTTCCAAGTTGAGTTGAGTTTAACCTAGTTTTATAGCTACTAAAACCTGACATTTGTATGACAGTTTGGTAATGCTATCAAAACCTCATGCGTCCGAATCGCACCCCCCCCCCCCCCCCCCTCCCCTTGACTCATCCGTACCTTTAAGACTATTGATTCATAGAAAGACATTTTACCAAAACACCAATTAGACTACATCCATTAAAGCATTACATCGAGACATGTTCATATTGAAATAGTATTCAATCTGCAATTATAAGCAAACTAAAGCGTACCTTTGTAAACATCGCATCATAAAATACCGTTTAAAGTAAATAACTTGTTCAAAAGTCAGCGTATTACAAAATAATTGTAACATGCATTGTGGTGATTCGGTCTGAAGGTTAGTTGGAATAAAACACTTTTTCCTGGTTGATATTAATTGACATATATCTAATCAAAAACTCATGTGAAATCTAACGCAATATATCACTAAATAATAAATAACATCCGATATGAGATATGAGTCAGTTGGCAACTTCTAATATATAGATATTAACATCATGTTTTTATTAATTACTTTAATTTTAACAACGGAAAAACTTAATTTTTTAAAAACCTCAAATATATGTATAAAAAAAGGAAACCGGAAAGATTTTTGTTCAAACAATAAGTACCATTTAACATGCGTTATTGTTATATAAACGACTAAATATAGAGGATATGGTACTGTTATGTCATATGCAATTAGTATTGATTTTCATGTAACAAATACTTTTCAGAAATTAGTTTTTCATCTACAGTTTGTTTGACACTGAATCGAACCCTTTGTGAATAAAATATGATCGGGTATGTTCCTTTTTTTTATTTGCTTACATTTCATAGTATTTTTTTATTTGTTAATTCTGTTTTTGTTAAAACTGTTTCACTTAATTGTATGTTTCAACATTATAACTTCTTTCTGGTGACAATTAACTGTCTTTTCATGACAATTCATTTGTGTTGGAAAATGTAATACAATCTTTCATTCTATTTTTCGTTTGATATAAATTCTCGTTTTGACTTAGATTTAATGCGCTTAATATTATATGACTCATTAACATAATTAATATTTTATTACATAATCTTCTAAGAATGTCTCGTACTGTATTCAACAATTCAATCCTTGATTACAGCAGTAAATAATGTTTCCATTACTTTCTTTTCCAATTATGATAATGTAGTTCACATCTGGTTTAAAATATCATCAGACCTAGGTTTTGAATATCATCAGGGAGGTTTGGCATGCTATTAAACAGACTCAACCCACCATTTGTTCTTAAAATGTCATGTACCAAGTCAGGAATTAGGCATTGTTATCAAATAGTTCGTTTTTATGTGTCTTGGTGTTTGTTTTTGTTGCACTTCAGTGATCCTGTTGTTCCATTGTTTTCCTCTGAAAGTTGAAGGGTTTCCCTTGGTTTCAGTTTGTAACACGGATTTTTTTTTCTCAATCGATTTATGACTTATAAACACCGGTATACTACTGTTGCCTTTACCTAGAAGAGACGAAACAATGTATCATTAAGTCGCCCTTGTTGTACTTATAACTCCTATTCAAATCACGCAGTCGATGTTTGCGTCTGTAACTGTTGTCAATAATGTAATTGAGAAGCTGCTTATATAACATGCACTTCTAAAATTGTCGGTTTATAATTTTTGAAATTATAAAAAAAAACATAGGTTTCAACTCCCTCAGTCAAAGTTGACAAGGCCTCAGATGGATTTGGCTATTGTTGGGTACTTTACCGTCATATAGCTCTGCAACTCTTTTGGTTCTTATAGATCCTTAGCTATCACATACTCGGCTTTGATCGTTCCCGATGAAGGTAGACCCAGAAAAGCGCTTCAGACATATTTAATTCATAACGTATAGTTTTCATTTAATACAATTCAACATTTTCATTCAAACTGATTATTGAAACCATGATCCCATGCATTTACTCGTTTGATTTGACCGTTGGTTTAATACTCTTTAAATAAAATGAACATAAGCATACCAGTTATTTCAAACTATTAACGGTATTCATAAAACAATTGAAAATAAGTTAAGGCTACAATGTAACAAAGTACAGAATTAATGGTCTTATAGGTTTCTAATGGTATCTTGGAATAATGTCACTAACTTATTACAGTGCACTGAAATTGGCACATTGAAAAAAAAAACAGCGGGTCAATGTCCAATCTTTTTCAAACTCTACTTGCAGTAACGGCAGCCCTTCATTCATCGGATAACGTAATGAATGATGTATGGGTGGACTGCGTTCATTCGGAAATCAAAATTAAATGGTTGAATTTTAATTTGGATTTAAATGTTTAACATGTTTCACGCGCGATCATTAGGCAACAGATGAGGAGAATGACTAGGTCATAGCAAAACGTTAATATTACCATTCTGAAACATATGGTCTTGCATTGTCAGGTTAGAAAATAACAAAAAACAATAATGCCTGGTCATGAAAGGACTCACAACATGTCACCACAATATATTAAAATAAAGACTGTCTGACTATTATGCCTGGTCATGAAAGGACTCACAACAGGTCTAAAAATGTCACCACAATATATCAAAATAAAGACTGTCTGACTATTATTAAATTTGGTTCACTTTTACCAATTGTGACCTGGGTGGAGAGTTGACCCATTGGCACTCATACCACATCTTCTTATATCAAATTATACAGGATCATCATGTCTGCTGATAAAAATTGTTGACGGATTCTATAGTTCCAGCTGTTACATTTACGTTCGTTCAAGCTACAAACTTGTTTACGTTAGCTGGTATCCATCCTGAGTCACCGAATATTGCCGTGATTGGTGTTAATCGATAAACGCCCATAAAAAGCGAATCGGTTTAAATTCTGAACCGCGTTTATAGAGGAAAAGTGTTTATCTCCCTATACTGCAGCTCCATAGCTGATAGTGCTCCAAACTGTTGAATCGTATATAGTTTGGAAAATGTGCAAAACGGAAAACCTCCAAACGCTTTTTTTTTAGATTAAAGTCCTAAAGCTCTGTTTACGGCAGCTGCAACATGTTTACCCATGATCTGGTAGTCCAAATGTTCTGTTAATGCGAGTCCAAGATATGTACACTTATCGACTGTTTGCAAGTTATATTTCCACATTTAAAATTCGATGAATATCTTGGTGAAAAATTCGGACGAAAATGTACGACATTTGACTTGTTTACATTCACTGTCTTTTATTGTTTACGCACCATCCACTTATGAAATATACGTGCATTGAATCGTCTTACATGGAAATGATTACGATAAGCTAGTGCTAATAATCGAATTCCAATTTAAATTCTTATACATTCAATAATATGTGTCCTGATAAAAAGATAGCACAGCTAGACGTCAAATATACGAACAGTTCTCTCTATGGGTATATTTTTTCGTGCTTCCAGATCTATGTATGTCCTGCACCGATCCTATATCCTTATAACGACTTAGCCATCACCAAACAGTTCATACTAAAATGAACAGCATTATCAGAATCGGTCGAACCAGCTTCGACCATTCCGATATACCCCTTTGATGTTAAATTGCGAAAGTGATCTACGACGGTGCATAAGGAATTGGTGTAAATTTCCTTTCAAGTCATCACACTTTTGCCTTACAAAATACTTTGTTTACATATTATTTGTAAGGAAACAGAAAATTCACGCAACACGCATGTTACCATTGCATCGTTTTATAGGCGCAAAATCAAACGGATTTGACACAATTCTTTAATTGAGAGCATAATCATTTGAATATAATCAGTAAATATTTCATCGTAGATAATAAAGAAATAAATCATTTGAAAAAAAGAATATTGCTTATAATAACTAGATATATTTCCTAAATGAACAGACGTTTACAGCCGAGTCATATACTTATAATAATTGCTTTTATATTACTATTTGAAGAATGATTATGGCCATTTCATTTTTTCTGCGTGTTAGACTGTGGTTTAATTTCTTATTTACTACAAATTTAGTCAATTGCATGTTGTATATATAGCTATATATTCTGTGTTATTTCACAACAGTAGCTCAACGCTTAAGTTTGTTAGGTGTCTTTCTTATTTACTACATGTGTGTTCAATCACATGATGCATGTATTCTTCAATAACAGAAAAGAAAGAGAATGACACAATCTCAGTAAATGCACATCAAAAACAAATCAACAAAAAGGAACATCTCTGTTATTGCTGTTCTTCGTCTCAACGTCACAGAGAGACCCTCAACACGGTGCAACAATACTCTCATCTCACTGAAAGTTTAAGACGTCCCTTGGCACCGTTTTAAGCCACAACTGAATTGAAGAACAAAGCAATGGATACATGCTAATAGAATAAATCTGGCAAAGAAATCAATCATATACTGTCATAATTTAGCCTGACAATCACACCGAAGCGTGCCAAAACATTACAAACATTTAGACAGCCACGGGACACATCGAGATAAATGCTAGATAACTTGGCAGGAAAAAACATAGATATAGGGCAAATAATTCGGGAAGACTATATAAGCTGTAATACAATCAACTCAGGCCCAGGAAAATACCAGAAAGAAGTACATATTCAAAACAAAATTGTAGTTCATATGCATAGGTGTAAATATTAGACTATGTAGAATCTATATATTGGTAGTATAGGTTTCAACTTAAATGTGCAGGACTGTTGATCCTTGTAGAACACTTTTGGACTGATAATTTCGAATAATACGAAAATGTATGAGGTACATGTACCCTGTTATGTGTATCGAAAATTCCTATAACGAGCACAGTCTGATGTGTCAATAACAGTATACTGACCAGGCCCCATACTTATTGCGTCTTGTCACAATTTAATTACATCAACTAGCCTTAAATTGGGAGAATGATGTACCAAATATGTACTTTATTCTAATTTTACAACAATATTTTGTATTTCAGGTTGGTAATCTTCAAACTGCAGCATATGTTTCCCAAGGTTATACTTGTATACATTTTATTACATGTCGGTTAGTCATCAGTACCGTGTTTGCAGCCTTACTGTGAATGTCGTAGCCAAAGAAAGGAAGCCATTTGTACAAATCTGACTATTATACCTAGACTTCCAGATTACGTTAAAAATGTTTACTTTAGAGGAAACAAATTCACAAATGTGTCAAAAAACTTTATGCTTAACGTAACAAAAAGTGAAATACGTCATATCTCATTAGTAGATAATTCGATCGAGCATTTTTCAAGGGATGCATTTTATGACCTGAAATGGATAAGAAACTTTGAGATATCAGCGGAACCACAAGTATATAATTTGGACGTACGCTCTGCCTTTTTTAAGTTCAAAAGGGACAGCCTTGACAAAGTCAGATTCGAAGACAACAATTGGAAAACACTACCGCCAGATTTATTTTTTGGCCAGACAAATTTAACCGAAGCGTCTTTTTCGGGAAATGCTTTTGTAGTATTTTCACCTTTACAAAAGTTATGATTGTTAAATATGTCTAGAAATAGTTTGTCCACGTTCAACCTTCAAGGACAATGTACACTTAAAATAGCAGATCTAAGCAAAAACTATATTGACGAATTTCAAAATTTCTGTTGTGGTACGTGCGATAAATTTTGTTGTCAATCACATGGATGTAAAAGCATATCTCCAAATCTACGGGTATTGGATCTAGGTTCTAGTTCCCTGTCTATCCTTGAATCGTCCTATTTTTATTGTTTACCTAGTTTGGAAATCCTGATATTAAATTCCAACCGTTTTGAATCCATTAATGATATCTTTGTTGTTTTGCCTAGTTTTCAGAAACTCTATATAGAAAAAAATCAACAAGTCACAACAACTGGATCCACTGCTTTTAATATTTCATCTCTAAGACTGTTGTCATAAGAAGATAATAATTTTCGTTTTGATACAAAGCTTGATATACATAATTTTGATCGAAATAGTATTTTTAAGTATTTTTTTAAATTTGGAAGTTCTAAACTTAGGGAATAACTATTTGGCCTCAGACAGTAATACGTCAGTTCTACTATTCAAACATTTATCAAATTTAACGACTTTAAACCTTAAGAATATGCGACTCAATAAACTTCCAACTGGCATATTTTCAAAAATGGTATCATCGGAAAGTCTTAACTTGCAAGGGAATATTATACGATACTGGTTTGATGGTACTTTTCATAATTTTATAAACTTAAAGTATTTAAATCTGCAAAAAACATTAAATTCAACTGATAAATAAAACATCAATAAAATCTGAAGTTTTACAACGACTGCTTCAGTTTGATCTTTCAAACAATCCTCGTTAATGTGTACTTGTGGTCTCATGTGGTTACGTAATTGGATTAAAAAAACCCAACGCTTTGTTTCTGTCTAACTATCCACAAGGGTACAAATGTGCGTTTCCAGAAAACCTACAGGATACTCTTCTAGAAGAATATAATCCAACGGAAGTAATATGTATTCCATGGAATCCACTTTTGACAATGGCATTAGTTTTATCCACTTCTGGATTTTTCATACTAGTTTCGATGTGTTCTGTCTACAAATGTCACACTAACATTCGGAACTATCTTTACTTATTCCATCTACATCGTTTGCAAAAGGATGGTTTTTTACAATTAGACAATAGTGAAGACTTTGCATTCCATGCTTTTGTTGTTTATTGCAATGCAGATAGAGAATGGGTCCATGCAACGTTTGTTAAACGAATTGAACATGAAGGTGTAAGGCTTTGCATTCATCGTCGTAATTTTGATGTCGGTGTTCCAATTTCAGAAAATGTTGACAAATACATGAAAGAGTCGTGGAAAGTCGTTATAATAATGAGTAATGATTTCGCCGAAAGCGAGTGGTGTCAATGGGAATGTGATTGTGTGCAGGAACGCAGACGTCACCATGGAAAAGATGCATGTGTTTTAATCATGCTTTGAACTATTGATGCTAATCACATGACCAGTTCTATCAAAACTTTGTTACAATCCATTTCATATTTAAGATTCAAAGAGAGAGTTGGAGAGGAAATATTCTGGCAGGCGATAACTGATGCGCTCCGGAAACCACTAAGTGTTCCTCCTATGGCAATATGACTGTTAATCTATACATATGAAGTTGATAAACATTGGATGTTTGATGTGTACGGATTGATAATTTAGTCTTAGATGCATGATTTTTTTTTATTAGTTGTTAGTGGCTTTGAACTAGCTGTCAGTAACTGCGAGTACTCTCAGATCTGTACTTAATGTCTTTTTGTTGTTTGGAGGTATAAGTACCCGGCCACGTCCACTTGTATTTGTAGTATTTGTATTTTTATCCATCTGATGAGTTAAGCCTCTTTCAACTGATTTTCATAGTTCGTTCTTATGTTGTACTGTTACACCACTGTCCCAGGTTAGCGGGAGGGTTGGGATCCCGCTAACATGTTTAACCCCGCCACATTCTGTATGTATGTGCCTGTCTCAAGTCAGGAGCCTGTAATTCAGTGGTTGTCGTTTGTTTATGTGTTACATATTTGTTTTTCTTTCATTTTTTGTACATAAATTAGGCCGTTAGTTTTCTCGTTTAAATTGTTTTACATTGTCATTTCGGGGCCTTTTATAGCTGACTGTGCGGTATGGGCTTTGCTCATTGTTGAAGGCCGTACGGTGACCTATAGTTGTTAATTTCTGTGTCATTTGGTCTCTTGTGGAGAGTTGTCTCATTGGCAATCATACCACTTCTTCTTTTTTATATTTGAGGAATTTAGATTTGAATATTTAAATACAATTTTTTTTTTGTATACCTAAATTATTATAGCTTACTGGTTTCAGTCATGATTACGACGGGACCTTTGATGTATTAACTTATTAATATGTCTTTTCCATATAATGGATTTTTTTGCGACTGACATACACGTGAGAGGTTTAGCTAGCTATAAAAACCAGGTTTAATCCACCATTTTCTATATAAGAAAATGCCTGTACCAGGTCAGGAATATGATAATTGTTATCCATTCGATGGGTTTGGGCTTTTGATTTTGGCATTTGATTACGGACTTTCCGTTTTGAATTTTCCCCGGAGTTCGGTATTTTTGTTATTTTACTTTTTAAGAAGAGCGTACCGATATTGGACAAAGATTTTATATAACTTTGACACCAAATGCAGGTGTCTTAAAATTAATTACTTAATTTTTTTAAAAGCCCAGAAGAAAAAAAAGTATAGTTATGAGCTTAAAATAAATTGAAGGAATTTATTTTTTTTTTCAATTTCAGTTTAGTCTTAAATTCAAGAAGGCAAAAAATTAACATCTCATGAAAACATCATAGAAGTGTGAGCATAACATACATGTATGTCAAATAGAGCGTTTGTGATGTTTGCCTTTTTTTTTTAATTGTTATAGAGGTATATAAAATGTATGGTTCTTCATTCTTAATGCACCCATATGTTTCTCTATCATTCTAAGGCGGTGCATGGACGTTTGAGGTTAAAATTCTTAAAAGCATTATATACATGCACACAACTATCATAAAACCAAAACTTTGTCAAAAAAATTAACCAAAACCACCTTACATCAACAGTATAATAATGTGCTTGAGTACATATATTTGTTCTGAAAATATAAGGACAAAACTATAAGACAAACCAGGTAATACCTATAAATATATCAACCTTACTGGAAAATTGGTACACTCGAAAGATGATTGTTTGCAATATGCGGTACTTGTTAACTTTACTTGAGTAGTTTAATTGCTAAATCGTGTCAGTCTTACCCTGGTCTATTGCGTTCAATTATTTGTTTTAATCAGATATGCGAGAGCTAAGCGTTATTATTGCAATTGCTCATACAGGGGTATCCTATTACCCAAAAACTACTCAAGCAAGATTAAGAACTTTTGTAATTTTGGGGCATTGAAAACACCAGACTCAAGCTAGCGAACAATAAGCCAGCGAACAATAAGGTGTATCAAGCTAGCGAACAATAAGCCAGCGAACAATAAGAAATACGCGCCAAACTGATCTTGCCTAAAAACCGAAGACTTGCAATAACATGAAACGTTCTTTGAAATCTGATAACAATCATTTCCAGTAGGAAGACGAAATGCAATACATTTTCAAAAAGACTATTAATTGAAAACTGTTTATTTATTTATTTATTTATTTATATATTCAAGACAACATAATTGTTCTTGACCACAGGACATCTCTTGTAGGATTTTCAAAATTCCTTTTAGGTTCTCCTCTCCCTTTTTTGATTACCTTTGAGTAGAAACGGTTTGTCTTTATAATCATGATAATTGTGAATAAATAAAAAAATTAGACCATACTTAACTAGTGTACAGATAAAATTAAATCCACATGCTTATATTCTTTTTAAAAGAAAACAAAATACCGATTTTGGAACGTAAAGTACAGAATTTTGCAGTCAGAATTATAAGTTGAAATAAAAGCTAATAAATATCCACAGTTTTCGTTAGGAATGATTGAAAACTGGCAATTTATTTATTACATTTCAATAGGAAATGTGTTTTATGTGACAATGACACACGTGACACGATATCTGAATGGATATAAAGATTTTAGCTACTTTAACAGACAAAATTTTCAAATCAAAGCTTTTCAAGGAGGCATATTTAAAAAAAAATCGGGAAACAGACGGAAAAACCGAAATCAGAAGAACAATTTCTTTACACTGATTTGAATTAACAAGAAGAGGATGCAATCACAACAATACAAACTATTTCATTTTAACATTGGAATTATAATCGGGGAAACGGTCCAAAGTTGGGGTAGGGTGACCCAACCCCCTCCCTTCTTTAATTCATAAAAAAGTCCCTACGGCAAAGCTTTTGTCCACACTAGGTACAAATGATAGGCAATTGCCTAAGGTTGCCTGGACCCAAAGACCCAGGTGGGTAAAGTTACGGAACTTTTTTAATTGAGGTCCAAAGTTGGGGTAGGGTGACCCAACCCCCTCCCTTCTTTAATTCATAAAAAAGTCCCTACGGCAAAGCTTTTGTCCACACTAGGTACAAATGATAGGCAATTGCCTAAGGTTGCCTGGACCCAAAGACCCAGGTGGGTAAAGTTACGGAACTTTTTTAATTGAGGTCCAAAGTTGGGGTAGGGTGACCCAACCCCCTCCCTTCTTTAATTCATAAAAAAAGTCCCTACGGCAAAGCTTTTGTCCACACTAGGTACAAATGATAGGCAATTGCCTAAGGTTGCCTGGACCCAAAGACCCAGGTGGGTAAAGTTACGGAACTTTTTTAATTGAGGTCCAAAGTTGGGGTAGGGTGACCCAACCCCCTCCCTTCTTTAATTCATAAAAAAAGTCCCTACGGCAAAGCTTTTGTCCACACTAGGTACAAATGATAGGCAATTGCCTAAGGTTGCCTGGACCCAAAGACCCAGGTGGATAAAGTTACGGAACTTTTTTAATTGAGGTCCAAAGTTGGGGGTATATCACCTTTTTAATTTAATTCATAAAAAAAGTTGCGCACCATACATTGATACATAATATAGTTCTCAAGCCTTTAACAAAAATAAAAACGAAATCCGCTTTTTCAAGAAAAAATCAATTTACTTAAATACTTTTGTCTTGAAAGGTAATCATTTACATAGTTTTTACATTGTCTATACGTTTATTCTACAAAAAATGTTATTTTAGGAACTATTTGACAGGATGCCGAAAGTACGGAAAGCCATTTCACACAACACATAATTTATTGTTGAAAAGTTGATAAAATAACAGGGAATGTTGTTTACACTTTTAAATTAGATTATTTAACAAAATATAGAAATTTATCTGCAAAAACCAGCAAAATATAAACAATCAACTGATGACAATAACTAATAAGTAGATCATAATTAGCGGATCATTTTTGTGGAAAATATTTTGTAAAAGTAAATGGATGATGACGGCGGACGACTACGGACAACAAACAACAGACGCCAGATATTGTAAAAAGCTCACACTGAACCTTTAGACCAGGTTAACTAGAACTTTCCATTAAGCTGGACTAATAACCCCGCATCTTGGATTGACTGAGTATTCTAGTTATTGAAAAACATGTTGTCAAAGAAGCTGATAATAATAATTTGGTCTTTTTCCAAGTATGGAACTGTAGATTCATTTGATATATATTTTTCTTTGATTGCGTGGTAAAAGGTGAACGAGTAGTATTGTCTCTGATTTTTTAACCCCCACAACAACCAGTGCTGCTGTGGTTGTCCCAATTATGGTTTTGCCCCGCCCCTTAAAGCCAAATATGGGCATGTCCCGCCCCTTATGTTGCGCCCCCCCCCCCCCCCCCCCGCATCTAATGACGTCACTGGAAGTAAGGAAGAAGAATCACGACGGATGCATTTTGACCATATTTGGATGTATATATACCGCTCCCTTTTCCCCCAACCTAATGACGTCACCGGAATTAAGTATATATATTATTTTATTCTGATATCACCTATGTTGAACAGAGGTAAGGAAGATGAATCACGACGGATGCATGTTGACCATATTTGGATATGAATATAACAGTAGGACTCACGTAGAACCATGCCAATCCCCCCTCATGAGTCATACCGAATGCACGCCCGCCATTTTTGGTCATTATGCGATCCGACCATTTCGATACTACGAGTCATCAGGATGCAAGTTCAGGGCATGACGCACCACATGACAATAGCATGAGTCACACCAGATGTACGTTGACCGTATTTGGTCTTGTTGTGTAGATCTGACGAGTCAGACATCCGTATAAGTAACAAAGTCGATATTGTTGGTACGTTCATTATACAAGGGCATCATGTCTCCCTTATTGGAAAATTTAAATTATCAAAAATTCAAAACTTCAAAAATCCATAAAATTCAAAATTTTATATTTTAAATATGTAACTTTTGTGAAGTTGAATCGTAAATGCGCCACCGTTATTATTTTCAAAAAGCATAAAAGAAATCTGCTGGATACGTAAAGGTAAAATTCATCCATCGTTTTGCTTCAGGCATTCTTATAGATAGGTTGATCAATGTATGCAGTGATTTTTTTTCGATTTTCAAAATATTTTGATTTGTTTTATTTGATTTTTTTTTTTTTATTTATTTTAAAAAAATTATGACTTTTTTTTTTTTTATTTCAATTTTTTTTTATATTTTTCAAATCATGCGTCATGCCCTGATCTTGCATCCTGATGACTCGTTGTATCGAAATGGTCGGATCGCATCATGACCATATATGGCGGATGTGCATTCGATATGACTCATGGTTTTGGCATGGTTCTACGTGAGTCATAATATGGTCAACATGCATCCGTCATGATTCATCTTCCTTACCTCTGTTCAACATAGGTGATACCAGAATAAAATGATATATATATACTTACTTCCGGTGACGTCATTAGGTCGGGGGAAAGGGGGCGGTATATGCCCATATATAATATTAGGGGGTGGGACATGCCCATATTTGGCATTAAGGCAGGTAAGTCGCAGCACCATCTCCAGGACAATCGAAGATGCCCTCACCCGAAAGAAGGGCTTAAAGGTACAGCTAGTACTGAAAGTGGAGCTGGTTAAAATGAAT